ATCAAAGTCAGCTATATCTTTACTTTTTTGTTAAAGATCAATTTGCATTTAATATGCTTGTAAGTTTGTTTGTTAGCAGAGTGGAATGAAAATCCATCAGTTTATTTGTGAAAATGAAGTGAAGTTGATTAAAAATGTATTGAACATCATTTCCTATTCGTCCGCTTCCCGCTCAGGGTTAAGTTTGTCCGCGAGAAAAGATGCTCCCAACGATCGGAAAATGCCCTCTATGACTCTTCTGTTAAATCTACAATCTTCATAGATTTTTCTTATTCCATTTTGTCTTCCTTTAAATACCATAACAAGCTATCTTTGGAGAAGATCAGTAACGAAGTGCCAGAGGAATGCGTACCGAATCGTTAAAGCGGATAATACAATTGTCCTTTCTTTTTGAGAACTATTACAGTTTAGTCAGTTTCAATCTTCCTCTTTTGCTTTAAACATAAGATTTTTTCTTGATTTGTTTCGAACGTAAAAAAACCGGATTCTTTTTAAAAATTTTAATAATAAATATTTGTTTTAGAATATTTTCTAACGCTGTAATTTTTTATTGTTGTAACTTTTCATTGAAATTAAAACTTAGATAAAATAAAAATTGAAAACTGAGAATCTAAACTTTGAAAATCATGAACGGAATATTATTATTTGTTAAGATGTTTTTTTATTTCGATTTCTGTTATAATAATTTTTAATTGCTTAAAACATCGATTAAAATAATTATTAATGCATGAAATATTATGTCATGTGGAAACTATATACCGGATTGATCGAGAAGTTGGCAAATAAATTTTGAAGGCAAAAAACAATATGAATAAACACAATTTAAAATACATAAATTGGCAAACTATAGTTTAAGTTCTATTAACAAGAACCTTTCTCAGTGTCTAAATGTCAAATGTAGGTAGAGAAGTAAAGAGATAAACACGTGTAAAATGGTTTAACCAATAGGGAGAAGAAATAAGTTTGAGCAAGGACACAACAATGAAGAGATAATAAACAGGAGTGAGGGTATTTAATAAGAACCATATATTTGAACGTTACTTTTAAAGATTAACAAGTAAAAGTACAAGTCCTCTAAGGAAAAGTAACGAGTAAAAAGTAAAATGTTTTGGTATAAAAAAGAACCGAGTAAAAAGTACAAGTACAAAACAAAAAAGGAAAGGTTATAAAGTACATTTTGAGGAAATTGAAAATTCAAAGTAATTTTAAATTTCATTAAAAAATGTGAGAAAAAACATAAAATATTTAATTTAGAAAGCATTATATTTTAATTATAAATTTTCTAAAAATTTTAAAATGCATGAAAATGTTAAATAATTTATTCAAATTGTAAACGTTGCAAATATTCAGCAACCAAACCAAAAAGCACACAAATATTGAGCACAAAAAGTTTAATGTTAAATTTAGTGATATGATGAACTAAATGCGTATTTGGTAAAATTCGCAGAAAAAAACACGCTTTATACAAAATCAGAAAAATAAATAAATAAATAAATAAAATTGTAGAATTTTTTATGCATATGATATATCAATTAAAAATCGCATAATTTTTATGTTTAAAACTTAAAGGATAAAAAAAAATTAAATTTTACTCAAAAAATGCTTGGCTTAGTAACGGCAAATAAATTATTGAAATTATAAAGGAAAACTTCCAATGTCCAACATGGTTGACAAAAATATTGCTTGTTAAACTTAAATAAATGGATTAAATCGTTCTTCAAATTGAAAACAACGTAATTTCGCAATGTGACATACTTTATAAAAGAAATTGAAAAAAAGATTAAGTCTACAAGGTACTCTACTCCCATTCTTCGTCTCAAAGCAAATTATATAATAGTCCTAAATTAAATTTTTGGCACCCAGTTTCAAATTTTTTGCGCAGTTTTTAAGCTGACAACTGGGTTTTCTGTTAAGATTTTTTACTAATATGTGATCAATTTGTATATTCAAGTTGTCTGGCTTTCTTTGTTGAACACATAAGCCTCGTCCTGCAAAATTTCGAGGTACAGTCAATCCTTGGTTAGTTACTGCAATGTGTCGATGAAATTCGAAGAGTTCTACAGTTTGCTCTGGCGCAAAGAGGTTTGAAAATATTCCATGTTGCTGCCAATGGTATCTCAAATGCATTTATACATAATGCCAATACCATTTTTTTCTTTGTAGAGAAGAACAATATGTTTCCATGAGATTGTCAAACAAGTCTACTCCATTCTTACACTTCTTATAGGAAACAACACATTATGGTATGTCTACTTTCTGCTCGTATCTTTAATATTGGTACTACTCCATCATCTTTCCCAATATTTTAGAAGACTTTGAAGAGAATTTTTTCCCCATTCTATTTTCTCTAACAGTTTCTATGGAGGAGAATATTTTACTTTTGAGGCTAACGAAAAGATCCTAAGATGTATAAAAGTTCTCCATATAAATTTTGTGCTTCGCTGGAGTTTCAACTGCTGATAGTAAATTTTCAATAACCATTTGAGATAATGACTTTCTTTCTTTCTTTATGCCAGACTCAATATCTTTCTTTTTGCTCCTTGATATGGTATCATATGAAACGCATCGAAAACATCCAGAGCTTGTATCCAAATTTCATGGTTTTCAATTTCATATACATTTTGCAACCATGTTTTCCAAAATAATGAACCGTTCTTTCATAATTATTTAAATGTTCCAAAAACACACCAAACTGTTGTATAGCTTCATTCAACAGTTCATAAATTGGACGAACTTTGTAATAGCGATCTGATGTACCAATAGCAGTGTTGTCTTTGAAGTGTAAATACTTCTTGATATCAATGTACCTTTTTCTCGACATTACTCTACTGACGAGCATTGTTCCAACAACAAGGGTACTTTCCCAGCACATTTTTTTCCAGGCAAAATGTGATAACCTCTAAAGAACATAATTACCGAATATTACTTAAATTCATCAGTTTTCAGATGAAATTCTTCATTATTTTTCGGTCTAGCTTATTCGTTTCTTTCGTGTACTATTTTTGCAATAATATTTTCAACCATCATTCCTGAAATCATGTCTACTATTTTTTGATGACGTTCATTGTGAAATAACCCAGGAGCTGACTGGAACTTCGATTAGTCTTCAGTAATTTTTTCCCTCATAACTTCAATAATTCCTGCAGTTTCTTCTTGTGGTTTTTCATCAAATATAGCATGTCCATATTCAATGCTAGAGCAGGCATCATTAATGTCTTCATTGTCATTGACTACGTTTAGACCAGGGGTCAATATTACCATTTTAGGGTCACTATTATCTAATTAATTACCCAATGGTATTAAAAAAACATAAGCCTCTTCAGTTGTTAAAAATCTCCCTCTCATTTTCGACACTTTTTTGCCAAAATGGATAAGCGTTCAATGCAAAGCTAACCTCTAAGTCCTAAGTCCCTTCAAAAGATAGCGCCATCAAGTGACTAAACCATATGACCAATGAGGAGTAATTTTAAAAGCGAACTATGGAATTATATTTAGGGAAACTCAGATGTAATTGAGTTTCTGAGATGGGCACCTATAGTAGGAGATTTTACCATTGTCCTCTATGTAGGACAACATCTAAATCCCTTGTAAAGTCAGTTTAAATATAAATTTCTTAATTCAGTTTTTATTCAAATGTAATATTAAAAGCTTGGAGTTGATAAATTTCTAAACAGATTTACTTTTTTCTTCTTGCAAAATTATTAAAAGTCTAGCAAAAACTATTTAGCAGTAAAATTATATTTCTTTCGTGAATGAATTGAATTATTTCTTAATTTGCTTACGTTTTTAATTACTTTTGGATCAATCGAATTGAAAAGTTAAGTTTTTTTATTACTAACGAATATCAATTCATTCCAACATATTGATTTTTTACTACTTTATAGGCAACCCGTCCCAGATCGCAAAGCAATCTGAAGTCAACCTCGTAAGAAGTTTCGGGGGTTGGCGAGCGGCAGCCATAATTTTTTCCAAAATGTACTTTGTTATTATTGCTGCATATTCCTAATGAACAAGATTTTATTTTTTATTTTTTTAATTATTTTGTTAATCCACTTGGTTAAAATTTTTTTATTTTTTTCTAGAAAAATATAATAAAAATTTATAAATCATGTCTTTTTTGAAAAATTACACACGAGAAATAATTGGTGGTAATAGTTCAATAAGCACTGCACTGAGTCAATAATTAGAAAAAATAATACTTTTGCTGTCTAATTACATGATTGTTACTTTGTCAAGATTTTTATTCAAGTCTGAAGAATTTGATTAAAATAAAAATAAAAAAATACTAATGCATTTAAAAGGTTTTAAAATTTCAAATAGGTGACAAACCACTGTTTTCATTAATAAAACATAAATAATTTTTACCCATTTTCACTTTATGACTCATATTACAATTATTTAAAAACGCTTGTGTCTTAACCCTCAACGCACGGCGGTCATCAATGACTACACAGTCTACTAAAATCATTCAACACTCGCTGTACTTCGCCTTCGAACTCAATTTTTGGGAGTCATTATGTATTTTGAAAAAATCTACCATTTGGAAGTCCATTTTATCTTAAACTGTTTGTCCCTGGGATTTCCCCTAAATATCCCCAAGGCTGTTTCTTATCTCTTCATTATTTCCTTGTTTAAATTTGTTCCTTTGTCCCTATTGGTTAAAGCATGTTAGTCTCTTTCCTTTTCTACCGTCATTTGATGTTTAGACACTGAGGAAGGTTCTTGTTAATAAAACTGTAACTATAGTTTGTCAATTTATATATTTTCATTTGGGCTTTATTCACATTGTTTTTTGCGTTAATATACATAGCACAAAATATTACCCTTTCCCTTGTTAAATTAATTTTAGTTTATATCTTAATAAATTAATCAAGTAGGAAAGGACATCACTGGCTCACTATGTCACAGAAATCTTATATACTTTCTATTGAATATTTTATAATTATCTGTACAGAAATATTTAAATTATAACATGAGATATTTTTTTCAATTTTTTTCAGAGAATCTACCCAATAACATACTTCAACAATCAAACCAGCATCACTGCATATTACTGCTTCGATTCTACTGACAGCATGGCATTTATGGTTGCTATCTATCAGTTAGTGGCCATGTTTATTGTTCCAGCTTTTTTCATGATGCTCTGTTACATATGCGTCATCAGAGAACTATGGAGCAGTACAAGAACAGTGGCAGCCATGACACGTCCTACAGAGTAATTACAACTTTCGATCTTTCTTATTCTTTCAATTGCATTTCATTCAGGCTTTGCAAATTTTATTTTGCATTTCAATGCATCAGTACTTTCTTTTCTTTTTAGTTTGGCAGAGTACTTTTTTTTCATTTTCATATTATTTGATTGTGTTTTAAATTAACATTTCTATACTTTTTTATGTATAGGTGTCATAATTATTCTCCCATATGCTGTTTTCTCAGAATTATCCTTAACTGACTAATATACTGAATTAAGACTCATAAAAATAGCAGTGATTCAAAAGGTTAAGCGTTATTTCAACGGCTGAATCCAGAATTTGGTAAACCAAGGGCATGATGGTAAAATGAGATCAGCATTGCACACAGGCTGTTTTTACTTTCTAGCTGAGCTGGTAACTATCGGTTAACATAAGAGGACTTCAGGCTTCCATCGAAAATAGAATCCACGACCTTCATAGTCGTAGCTCAGTGCCTTCTGTTGCTTCAGTGATTTCTGTGGTTAGTTGTTACTAGCTCATTCATAGCAACTAGGGCTGGCTACTAGAAATCAGAGTGCAATACGTTTAAAAAAAAATTTGCAACAAAGTTTTAAAAAAATTTTGTTAATATGGCTAAATAACTGCGATTGAAGTCAATTTTAAAGCGTAACAGTAACATTTGAAACAATATTAACGCTTTGCTGATATTCAAAATATACTTCCGTTGAAAATTTTGAAGACAAGTACTAAATTTGTGAAAAACAAATCCATTTGGACGGGCAGTAACTCATGATCAAGATGGCAATTTTTACTCTTTATAAAGTATTCCAAACAGTAAGCAATAAAAAAGAAGTGTCTGCAGCCAAAAAAAAATATAAGCTAGTCCAAGAGATACTATGATAGCAACCTGAATGAAACTTTTTTAACGATGGCAATTTTTTTTAGAATAAGTAGGTATTAATTTAATAAGTAATCGTATTTTTGGATAATTAGCTTAAGTTTTCAGCGAGCTTATCATTTAGTTATAAGGGAAACAAATAACGATAAAGATTGTCTACAACACACCCGCAATTACAATTTTCGTAACCACAGTAATATACTAATTTTCGACCAACAGAACTATTATTTGTCATGCCCGAAAGTTACACTTATCCCTTGTTAAAGATAATTATTTCTTCAATTTTTTATTCTAAATGTTTTTGAGGGAATATTCAATTCCCATAGAGGCTCATATTTATATTTTTAATACTTCTGCTTTGAAATCAAAGATAATTATATTGTCACAAAGCATAAGCGTAATTGTTCTTTTTTTTTTATCCATAATTAACATAATTGTCAAATGTCTGCGATAATTACGACTCCAATTTTCCCCTGCGTAAAATTATTGCATTGAAAAAGTAGTGAAGTCTAAAGAGGAAACATATTTTATTGCGTAGTTTATTTATTGTTCAGGTAATCGAAGTAATCTTTTTTTCCCAACTTTCTTGAAACTAATGAACGAAAAATTAAATTATAGTTAAACAGACGTAGGGAAAAATAAATAATAGTTATACGTAAGAGAAACACAAAAAAATACTAAATAACTGAAAAACTTAATTGAACTGCGAGTTTGTAATAGTTATTCATAACTGTAACGTTAATTTGTATCTTTCTTTAGGTAAAACTCTCTACAGCCGTCACTTACTTAAATTACGACTATGTACGACTTGTTTTGTAATTACGAAAAAAAAACACATTTTGGTAAAAATGAAAATCATTGGAATTTAGTTTTTTATATTTTTACAGTTAATTCAGCTTTCATTGTATGAATACATTAAAATTATCAAAGAAAGATAATTCACCTATTTGAATAATTTTCATCGTGATGAAAAAATTTCGCTAAATAGGCCGTTTTTTTTTAAAATAACAGAAATTTTTATTTCAACTTTTTTGTCCGTTTTAAAGTTCAGGTAATTTTTGATCATCAATATAAGTACTTATAGTTAAAGAATAATATAATGCTAATGTTTAAAAATAAAACACATATAATTTAAAAGACATTTGCTACGAGTTTAAGGTACTGAAGCTGTGGCTTTTTTTATTTTCATTCACAAAATAGCTCATAGGAACACTCTTAAGTATTTTGAAGTTGAAAAAAAAAATTAACATTTTAACTAGAAATTAAAACATTATCTAAGAAACATTTCATTGGGAACTAACAGTAACTTTACAACTCACACCTCTTAAACGTTAGTACTTTCTCTTCTATCACATTTTTGGACATGTTCAAGTATATTTGGAAAGATGTGGTGAAATGCAGCGAATAAAAATGATTTTACCGTTCAGTGGGACACATTCTTAAATTCTAAACAAAAAAAAACTTTTTTAAGGATTAAAGGATATAATACCAAGAAAGCACAATTTTAAAATGAACCCGTACATTTACATATGCAAACATATTAAATGATCTTTTGCAAGCCTACTAAAATATTTGTAAAAGGAAAGCTTCCAGCAACAAATGTTTTTTTTTATCATCATATAATATCTAAAAAAATATAAAAATCAAAATATCTTATCTTCAATACTTAAAAATTATACTTCATAGAGTTTTTTCGTATTTTAAATTAAAAAAAGTGAAATTTTCATGTGATCGGAAAGAAGAAAAAACCGTTCCAGAATGGTGAGTTGTTAAAAGAAGCATTTCTTGCTGGTGCTGATTGCTTATTTGAGGGATTTTCCAGCAAACGTGAGATCATGCCAGCAATACAAGACTTACAATTATCAGAAAATACTGTCACAAGAAGAATAGGAGCCATTTCAAAAGATATGCAAACGCAGTTGAAGAGTGATTTGAAAATATGTGAGTGGTTCTCACTACAATTTGACGAGTCCACAGACATAGCAGACACAGCACAATTAGCAGTTAGGCTGAGAATGGTATTAATTTGATTTTATAGAAGAATAGCTACTATATTTATAAAACATTTACTATATTCATAAAACATTTATAACATGTGCAAACATGATGAATATGCCTCTCCAGAAACTGTCATCTATAACCGCTGATGAGGCACTAGCAATGGTGGGAAACATGAATGGTTTTATTGCTCTCTGTATAAAAGATGGGTCATTTCCTGATTTTATGTCCTATCACTGCATGTCCACCAGGAAGCTTAGCGTGGTAAAGTACCACCATTTGGACACGTATTGAAAATTATTACCAAAATGGTCAACTTAATTCGAGCAGCTCCTTTGGAACGTCGACTTTTCAAAGCCCTGTAACCTAACCTCACTTTACATATTGAAGTACGCTGGCTCAGTAGAGACAAAGTAGATTTATACATTTAATTGAGGAAATAAAAAAAATATCTTGTAGTCAAAAATCAAATACTTTTGGAACTAAGAGATCCTCTTTGGCTTGCAGATTTGTCTTTTATAACAGACATAATAAAAAAACTAAATAATTTAAACTTGGAGCTACAGGGAAACGAAAAACATATAGTAAGAATGATAGGGGCTATAAATTTGTTCAGAGTTAAGCTAGTTTTGTGGATATCACATTTGAAAATAAAGTCTATTGTGCATTTTCCAAACATGAAAAAGGTGATAGAAGACAGTAAAATTGACTTATCAACATTTGTCCCCAACCTCCAATTGCTTCAAGATCAATTTGTAAAGAGCTTTCAATAATTTAACATCATCGAGCCTATGGTCATCTTTTGTGTAAATCCTTTTACCAGTCAAATAAATGTAAGAGAAATAGCAACATACACTTCCAGAATTTCTTCAAGTAAGATAAGAAGAAGAGGCGATAAAAATTTTGGATCTTCAGAATTACATAATCCTCAAAACTATTATATCAGGTGAGAAATTCTGGAATATAGTTGATAGAAATAAATTTTCATTCTTAAAAAGAGCAGCACATATAATAAAGTATTTTTATGGTTCCATTTACTTGTGTGAATCATTGTTTTCGACGATGAATATCATAAAATCAAAATATAGATCAGGACTTTTAGATGAACACCTTGACGATTGCTTGCGAGCAAGAATTTCATCATATTCTCTCAATTATGAAGCGCTGGTCAGTGAAATGCAATGCCAAAGATCACATTCACTGTATTTTATATACTATTTTATAAATAATTTTTATGTTTCGTATGTTTTGCAAGCAATTTAACATTCATTTAGTTTATTCAAGAATATTAATAATAATTATATTAATATGTTAAATTAATTTTTAAAATTAAATTTTTTGTGCATATGTTGTGTGTATTATTACATATGTCTACCAACTTTAAATTTATCTTGAATGGCGCCCGCCATTCGACCGATATTCTGATATTTGCTCTTAGGTACAAAAAGGTTGCGTACCCCTGGTATTGACTATTGACTGTTTCCTTGCTCAAAGAAGGCCGTTTTAAATCGAGCAGTCTATCTGCGAGCCTGTCGCTATTTTCGTTTATGTTGTAGAGTTGCACTCTATAACCTGACAACGTTCGCTCTTGTATATCTGAGTTTATTTTTAAATCACCTTTTCTTTTTTTTTTCTTTCAACGATCACATTAAATAATATGTTATCTGCGAGCCTGACGCTATTTTTTGTTTATGTTGTAGAGTTGCATTTTATAGCCTGGCAACGTTCTCTCTTGTATAGCTGAGTTTATTTTGAAATCACCTTTTCTTTTTTTTTTCTTTCAACGGTCACATTAAATAATATGTTATCTGCGAACCTGACGCTATTTTTGTTTATGTTGTAGAGTTGCATTTTATAGCCTGGCAACGTTCTCTCTTGTATATCTGAGTTTATTTTTAAATTACCTTTTCTTTTCTTTTCTTTCAACGGTCACATTAAATACACATGTAAAATTGCTATCACCCTTATTTTGCTAATAACTACAACAATATTTATACTATTATGTACTCATGTATTTATTGAGATCAATTGCAGAGTGCAATAATTTTAAAAGAAAAGTGCAAGAATTTGTAAATTTTTATTTCATGATTAAAAATACTACTACTAAACTTTTGTTTAATAAGAACTGATAGTGGAAGTATACATAAAAGTTTGTTGTTTATCGTCAACATTATCTATTTCTGTCAATTCCTCCTTCAGTCGGCAATTCTTTCTTCACTAACTATTAGCCAATCTAACACTGTTTATCATTACCTTGGTGTTTATCGGCTATAAAACAAGTGTCAGGTAGCTTCATTTATTTTCGCTATTAGTTCTTGCTAGACAGAGAGAGGAAATAGTATTTTTTTTTATGAAATTAATATTTTCTCACTGTTGCACTCTTCCTTTAAAACTATTGCACTATTCAATTAATCAAAGTGAATATAAAAGTACAAGATATATTGCAAACAGAATAAGCTTCATTTAAAAATTTTAATCACGTTTTCATTTTTTACATAGCTCATTTTTTGTTTCAATTAGAACCAATTACTAAAATTAAATAAACATTATTAGCGAGAATAATAATATGGCGATTTTTTACTTTTCTTTTATTCGAATTAGTATCACTTCTCCATTAGTTTTGCTTTTTAGTATACAGCTAAAATAATTTTATTTATTGTAATATTTAATAAATTTTAGCCTCTATTTACTTTAGCGCATAAAGAGGCAGATTGACTTAAAGGATATCTTAGCAACTAATATTTATGTTTTATATAAAATCTACTACTACATAACACACTACATATTAATAAGCAATTTATTTATGCAAACGTTATTTTATTCTTATATTATTCACAAATCATGTAATAAGTAATAAAATATAAAAATAAGAAAAAATGAACAGTAGTTAAAGTGAAATTATATATATTTAAAATATGTTTTTCCATATCAAATAAAATTCACTCAAACCTATTTCGTTAATCTGAAGTATGCTTCTTGACGAAACTGCGATAATTTTTCTAAAAGCGTTTCCTCTGTTTACCCTTCTTATATACCACGGTATATCACCAATCCCAACAAATCATTCTTATTTTAAGAAGTATAATAAAAGTAAAAGTAGAGAATAATGAAAATAAAGAAAAAATGAAATAAGTGAAAATAAGGAAGAAAAAAAAAGTCTTTCGCGAAAGCAAATAAATGGCACACACCGCAATCAAATCAACACACACACATTAAAATGCGCAACTTTTGAGGAATAGCGTTAAGGTAAAGGTTTTGCCAACGTAATGCAAAAGCTCTACTTAAATGCATACGTTATCAAAATACAATCCCAACTACGCCGGCAGATGCAAATGCTTTTGCAAAGTCAAGACTATTTGCCCCCTTCAAAGCCCACGATCAAATGACTAATCTTAACATCAACAGGAAGACATCCACCACTGCCATCAGACTAAGAACAAAACATCATAAAAACATGAAAATCTCTGCAGATGGGACTAGAAAATATCAAAACTGTGGCAACTGTTTTAATGTGGAACTCACACCATATCATGTTTTTAACTGCCCTGCAGTCGCTGCAGGCCTTCACCTCTAAAGCTGCCCTACAGAAGGAGATTTATATTCATTTAATGCCATAGAGATAGCAAGGACTATTCAAGCACACCATGAGATATGATTCAATTGAGGATACGACACCAACCAACCAACCAAATGCATACGTTATATTTTTACGTAAATTTTAACGCCTGCTCTGTGAAACTTAATTACCGTTAACGTTAGAGTTAACCGAAAACCATAACGTAACGCATAAAATCTCTATTATTTTTCTTGTATATTTTCCAGTAGAATCAAATGAGACTATGTATATGGTATTATGTGTTATGGTATGTTTTTATGTGTTTTTATGTATATGGTATTATTCGATGTTATATTATTTCGAATAATGATCAGTTACGTGGTAAATTCAGAGTTATTTGAAATGTTAGATGAAATTGTCCAGAAAATTTGGGAGGAAAAGTAGTGTAGAAAAAAACAAACTTATTTTAATCAGTTCGTAACAATGCTTGTCGATTATAGCTCCCTTGAGTTGATACTTAAAACAAAGTAATAATATGAGATTTTAGTTTAAACCACACTTCTTTTACAAAAATTTAGGTCTTAAAGATTCTGCCAATCCTTTTTATTTTGCTTGTTTGCTTAAGTTGGTTGAAAGAAATCTATAGAAGCTGATACACAATTCCTGAGAGTCAAGAAAAGTTCAAGGATGGTTTATTTAATTTTTCTTTTATTCTGAACTAATCCATCACTGTCAATGAGACAATAAAGAATAGAACATAGCTCTCAAAGACATTTTTGTCTTCCAACACTTTAAGAAAAAAATTGTAGATTATAATGTAAACTCAGTATTGAATATCAGATATACAGCAATAATATACATTTTCCTAAAGAGTTGTTTTGCTATAATTAAAAAAAACTAGTCATTCCGCATCTTTTGGAGTGATAAAATTAGATTATTCTATGCTGAGCTATACAATAATTAGGTACTGATAAATCTAAATAAATAACTTGTATTTTCCGTAAATAAATTAGTATTTATTTCTTGGATTTTGCAAGTATCAAATAGTTAAAAGTCAAGAAGTTTCAGATTACCACAATGCTTGACGCGATAAAAAAAATAACGTTTTTTAAGCTCACCAGTACTTAAAAGCATGTTTGAATGAGGATATTGATAGCAATAGTCGACTAAATTATTTTAAATCGAATTGTTTAAACCAAGAGAGAAACATGAAAGCATAAATATAGTTGCATCTTTAAATATTCCATAAAGAAAACTCTGCTAAAACCGCTTAGAGTTGATACCTATTAAATGAGCTTTATGTAGCTCTTTATAAGATATTAAAAATTGAAAGAAAAAGAAAACATTAGAGTAGCAAGAATGGCATTGAAGAAAAGAAAAACCTAGGACCTCACGTGGAACAAATTTGAAAACTTTGTCTTTGTCAGTTGTTTTATTTATTGAAAAAAAAATGTGGTAGGATATAAAATTTTTGTCTTAAATCTTTGAGCTTGCAGTCATTATTTTTCATTTACCTTTCTTGTTTGAGAAAATATATGCATAATTCCGATTATTGAATATTTAATTTTTCCCATTGGCCCTTTTACACGTTTATTTTTTTCAAATTAGAGGCATATTAAGAATCCATATTCGATTTATTTTTCTTACACATTACATTTTGATTACAATAAAAATGGTAAAAAATAATATTTCAGAAGACAAATTGCGCCGAATACTTAGAGCTAAACTTGATATAGGCAACGAAAATTTAAGAGCAATTTTTGTTGAATTATGAGATAAGTGTGGTTTGCAATCAAAACATTTGAATTAAAAAAGGCATTTAACATACAAAACCTCTTTTAACAAACATAAGTTTTTATAATTAACATCAGAATATATAATTTGCAACACTTATTATAAAATAAATTTATGTCATCGTTAATGTTTTCTCCTTATTTTAAAATTTGTTTCATTTTTATTTTATTTCAGCATACTAAATATATTTTTAAACATAGTAATTTTTTGCGATATTTTTATTCACGATTTAAAACGCTTATGGTAGTTTCTTTTGAGGGTATGTCTTACATGTTAGAAATTACTTATTTATATGCTTCTAAATATGGGACATTTTATGATAATTAGATTTGTATTTCTAGTGTACAGAAGAAGACTAAAAATATTTTTTGAAGAAAGTAAGAGCAACCGAAGAACGAATTATTTCACTGAAAAAACTTATGATTATCAATTCTAAAAATAAAACTTTCCATACACGCTTAATTTTCTCGTTATACTTCTAATAAGATATCTATTAAATTAAACTACAAATCTCTAACAAATTTATTATCTGAATATGGTCATTGAAAACTCATCAGCTTAAATTTTAAAATAAAATTGACGAAACATTCAAATCATCATTTACTCGCTGGATTCAGCAAGTGCCTCGTTAAAATAGACATTTATGTATGAATAACACGAAGTTATCGAATTATGGTTTGAATTATGGATAACTGTTATTGAATCATGGTTTGTAATCGGTGAAATCAACCACACATAAAATATAGGTTGTTGATGAACTAGCTAGGATGTTCAGTGATTTTCACTAATTGCCAAACAACTAATCTTGTCCCGTCACCATTCACCAAAATGTTCCATTTGCAGTAGCTTATTCAGAGATTTCCCTCATAATTATATCGATTTACAAGCGAGTACAATTAAACTTACAGGAAGCTAAATAAAGCGATTTAAAAGCATTCATATTACAACGAAAACTATTCAATGCAATGAATTAAAACAATTAATGTTCGTGTCCCAAATATAATTATATATTTCATGCATTCAAAACTGTTCAATTCATCTAATTCGCCTAATATTTAAAAAAAAATCAGATTTAGGGATGTAGTGTAGATAATATCAGCGTTGAACACTAGGAAATCAACGTTCTTCCCACTGGTTTTCTAATAAAATCCTATTTTGTCAAATGTTAAGCTTCTTAATTGGTATTTTTTTTTATTTATTTTATACATTCTGACTTTTTTCGAAGGGCGATAAAAAGCAAAGTTTCGAAGTTATTTATTTTTTTCACTTCTGCATTTGCCATATTTTGAGGTTGGACAAAATAATGGAAAAACTTCTATATTAACAAACTTTTTTTTATATATTTCTTAAAAAATCCTTTAAAGATCCTAGAAATTTGAGGGACCGACAATAAATTACAAACGGAATTTTTTTTTTTTTTGTACGCACTATGCCAAAAAATGTAGCAATAAATTTGTAACTTGTAATAATTATTTCAGCAATTATACACAATAATTGCACAGAATTTCATAAACCTAGCTTAAATATTTATGAAGATATGAACATTTCCGTAAGAAACAAATTTTTTTGCCTTGCGTTTGTTTGCAATAACTTTAAAAATATTCAATAAAATTAAGCAAAATTTTTGCAGTAATTTAAAATTTATTACAAAATTTTTGATAATTTGGGTGAAATTTGCTTAAAACTGTGGAAGATATGAATAATTCAAGTAGTTATTTTAAACTGCACGTACACTGGAAAAATTTTTAAAATTTTTCTTGTTCAGTTTACAGTGAATCTTATTTGGCGACTAATAAAGAAAAATTTGACTTGAATATCTTGAAAATTTAAACAGTTACAAGTAATTTTCGAATAATTTTCTCTTTAAAAGAAAGCTCAAAATGATAAGGGGATTTCCCCAAATCTCATTTTGTACTAATGCGCAAGATTTATTATAAATGACACAGCCATTGTTGGAAATCACATAAAAGTATCTCTTTTCGCGTATTTTCTTTCTTTATACACTCATGTTTCGGTATATTAACATATGTTGTTAGGTATTATCTTTCGTTAATTAAATTTGTCTAAGGATACGAAATAATATTTGTAGAAAAACCTTAATTATTTTGAGTTTCTTTTAAAAAGTGTCAACACAACTTAGAAAATTGCTTGAAATTTTCAAATTTTCAGGATATTCAAATCAGATTTTTTTTTCATTCGCTGCCAAATACGATTCACTACAACAATATGGAAAAAAATTTTAAATTTTTTTCCGTTCATAGACCAACTACTTCAATTACCTAAATATTGTTCGCATTGCACGCATTAATTATATTGTATAATATACTATTCAACGATTTTTTTTCTTCAAATTTTGAAGATAATTTTAAATTGCTTTAAAAATTTTGCTTAATTTTATTGAATATTTTTAAATTTATAGCATAAAAGTATAAGACAAAAAAAAGAGTTTCTCATAATTACCAAACGCATTACCAATGCTTTACCAGTACATTACTGCTTGAAATTTCTGTTTCAAAACTATTTTAATTTTGCAAACCACGCAAAATAAATAATTATTGAAAAGAATCTGACATTAACTACAAAAAAGTATTTAATTCCTGGGTGTAAAATTTCAAAATTACGGAAAAAGCACAAAAAGTGAAGGTTATTGAAGTTATGTACCTTAATAGAAAAGAATTAAATGAAATGCTCATAAAAATATTACTAAATAGATATAAAATTGAATACTCATAATACTATGTGTTTTCATTTTTTACTTCATTCCAAATACGCATTAAGAATGCAGAATTAGCCTATTTTCGGCCAAAGATTCGTTAACGAAGCATCTCTTTAAATGTCTTTATTAACACTGTGACATAAGTTTGTTACTAATTTTATTTTTCTGTTATTGTCAAGGGTTTTGAAGACAACTATAAATATTAGTAATTCAATTGGAGTAAGCAGTTTATTTTGAAAACTGTTTACTCTGAAAAATAAACAATTTATTTTGAAAAAAAAAGCAGTTTATTTTGAAAAATAAACTGTTTATTCCAACTATTGTTTCTTTTACGTTTGTTTTTTAACTTGAGCCGGTTATTGACAAATTCGACTTTTTGAAAATGTCTAGTTATTTAATTTGGGATTAATCATATGTTCTTATGTTAGATTAAAGCTGTAAGTTCATTAAGTAAAATAACAAATTTTATAAATGCTCAACTAAATGGTGTGGCAATTGATTTCGTTAAAAGTGCACAATTTTACTTCTTAAGTAAAATGTAATTTTTCATGCACTAAACTTTTTTTTGTATCCTAATGAATGTATTTTAAGCATATTTCAATGAAAATAATGACCTGTTTTACAAAACTTCCATGAATTATAGCCCTGAAATGAGCTAAAAAGAACGAAGCTAGAACTTTTCCAAACTGACACTATGCAGTATAGATGTTTAAGAGAACATTAAACAGTGGGAGACACGTTTTATGGCAAATTCTTTTTCATGTCGATTGATATTTTAAACTTAAGAGTTAATAAAAAAATTAGTTCAGTTAAACCTAAAATATACCATGCAATTTTGAATACTGAAAGAAAATGTTTTCCAAATATCAAAAGGTAAACAAATTATGGAAGAATTACTTAGGATTGTGAATTGGGGGAATAATCCTGCAATTATTTGTGTTTAATCTTTTGATAACATATTTTTCAGCATTTGAAATTTCACGGTTTATTCTTCGTTTAACTGAACTAATTTTTCAAGTTATACTTCTTATGCGACTTCCCACTAGGTTGCATTAAACGTTTAACGCTACATTTTTATATGCCGGGAAATCACGTGGTATTATTCAGTTTTCCCTCATTCATCTCCATATTGTTTTGGTTCTCACTAGCATAAATGTCGTAAAAGTATTGTTTTTCTATAAATATTTTTTTAGTTTGTTCTGATACACATATAATTTAATAGGGTAGTATTTTTTATTTTCAAATTTAGTGGATAACAATTGTAAAAAATGAGTGAAAACAATCCCACGGACAATGCGACGGATTTAAGGTTATGTCAAGGTACGTCTCTTGCGAATTTTAATTGATTGTTTCTCTTCTGAAATTGCATTATGACGTATTCACATACATTATTAATACAAATATACATTTTCCAATGTGAGACAATGAGGCAACCACAAACACTTCCACTGGTTCAAGAGGTCCACGAGGGAAAAATGCACAATATTACCATGATTACAGAGCACGGAAGCGAGCGGAGCAGGAAAAAGAGTCGTTGAATAGAACTAGTGATCCTTCCACGACTGTTGATTCTTTTACAATTAACGTCGCAGGTTGCGAAGTTTAACTTCTTCCGNTTACAGAGCACGGAAGCGAGCGGAGCAGGAAAAAGAGTCGTTGAATAGAACTAGTGATCCTTCTACGACTGCTGATTCTTTTACAATTAACGTCGCCGGTTGCGAAGTTTAACTTCTTCCGCGCGGAGGGACTCCACGCACTATTTTTTTTTCTTAATTTTTAATTTTAAAATACCATGGACAAAAATAGAATTTGCCACATTACGTCTCTCCCACATTACAGTGTTCTCTTAAGTATGTTTAAAATTGGGCAGTGAAGAGAAAATTTTTATACCACGTGGAAATAGTTTTTTCATTATGTTTTCATGCGTTATTTTAGAGGAAGTAAATATAAACAATACATCTAATATACATCGTAAGTAATGGAGCTCTTGTTTTTATGTAGATATGATTCGGATAGAGAATTACATAATTCCAGACACTGTTTATTACGATTTAATTGGGGTCGTCGACAACAGAGGGCGACACCAGAGAGAATATTGAGCATACACAGACAAGGCTTAGAAATACAGCATGCACGAAAGCAGGTCTGTATTCTATATATTTTGTACATGAATAAAGTTTTGTTCACTTGGTTATTATAGTTATTTTACTTTGTTTAATTATTGTGTTTATTTCTGCTTAACAATACCTGAAATGTTTTTTCTCAATTATTTTAGACTGCATTTAAATACTCTTTTTTTATTTCAATTTATTTTATGTATCCCTTCTTTAAAACAACAGCATTTAAGATATTTAATACTTTACTCCTCAATATTTTTAAGTTTAATTTTAAATAGAGAAATCGACCTTAATTATACAAAATTTACATGAGAATTTATAATTACATCTTATTTATAACGGGAAAGAATTCTTTATCCTCGATGCAAGGGGGATAGGGTTCCCATAATACGGAAAATATTGTCCTAATACTATAGTCAGGACCGTAGTCGAAAGTTTAAGCAGTAAGTAGTAAGTGTCAACATTGACATACTCATAACTATATAATAATTTAAAGAGCATCTGTTTATATATTCCTAATTCAAGAAAGATATTGTAACACAAGATATTGAGACAAAGAGAGAAAATGTTTAAGTAGGAAATTTTTAAATAAAGAAAGTAGTTTTAAAGCAATAGGGTCTAGAGGCTAAAAACTTACGCTTTTCAGTAAAACAATTAATCGATATTATGATAATAAAATAAAACCACTACTATCAGTTATCACTGCAAAAGTAAGATTTTTATGAACAAATAAGAAACAACTATTACCAATATGCAAGTGAAATAAATAAATAAAAATAAGGCAAACAGCTTTCAGACGCACAGAGTGTATGACAATCGAATAATAAATGTTTAAATATTTAAATCAAATTACTAACAATAAAAACTAACGGAGTAAACAAAAAAAGAAGGAAAAAAACAAGTTAGAAATGAGACAATTATAATAATCGAGCATCTTACAAATTCTATTGAAATTTTAAAGTCAAATGAATAGTAAAAAAAGTGTATAAAAATTTATCTTTGTCTCATTTTTAGAGCAGAACATAAATTAGAATAAACCTCGCACTTTTTTCTTATCCTGCCTTACTCTGGATCGTTCTTGTTAAAATGATTATTTCTTATGAATTTTATCATTATTTCTTATAAATCCTGCTAAACTAGGTTGCCTTAAGTTGTTTTTTTACTAAGAAAAAATTTTCATCCTAATTTTAGAATGACACGAAATTTAACAATTTTCCTAGTAATTTAACAATTTTCCTTCCACTACTTTATTAGTAGTGCCTAAATTGAATTAAAGAAAAGTTAATGATAAAATAAATAGACCAATTGTTTAGTCACATAATCGAATAAGCTGAAAATGTTATAAAATTGTGAATAATAAGCTACCATCTAGGAAATTAATGAAGCAGAGCATGAAAGAATAAGTTAATAACAAAGTAAGTGATAAAATTAATAAGGAAACAAATAAAAAACAGATTAATAATTTCAGATACGCGCAAACACAATTAATAACGGCAGAAATATAGAAAAACGTCGGTATTTTTCACGACAAATTTATGAAACATAAAAAAAAATTAGCCCCCACAATTTTAAGTTTTAATAAATAAGATTGATGTTTTAAAAAATCTTCATAAAAACTAACAATACGAAAATAATAGTNTTCCTGTTTTTTTTTTTTTTATATATATATATATATATATATATATATATATAGCCTTTTGAAGAAGAAGATACATATTTTTTCAAACTACGTAAAAGAAATCTGTTATACTTTTTTTTCAATAATAAAAGCTAAAACTATGAACACTTAATAATATGATGAATTGTATAATAGCTATTTTTTTTTAAACTTGGCTTATTAATTAAGGCATTCGAACGAAATTGATTATTCTAAGAAGATATAAATACCTAATTACTCAAGTTTTTATTTAATTTACAGGAATAGTTTCTATCTGAAATTTTTTTTTACCAAAATATATGTGTAATTAACTAAGATAATTGTGTGCATGAGTGTGTAATGTCGTTATACGACATTTCGACAAATTTTTCTACTTCTTCCTTCATTGAAAAACAAACTGTTATTTTCTCGTTATTTGGATATTTCTCGTCTTAAACGAGGATAAAATCTTCACCAAAGTCAGGTAACAAGCAATTTTTAAAAATATTCATAGGCGTGTGAAGTTAGTCGACAAAACGGAACTCGTTAGTCGATAAAACGGAAAATCTCTAATCGCGACATCTGCTCCTGCACCCCAGAAAACAGGAATGGGACTAGTAGGTCTTGGCCACTGAGTTTAGAATATATAAAGCAAGATGTCTACGCGTTATTCCAAAGCTTTCTGCACAGAATTTTGTTGTTTAGTTGTTACTATTGCCACTTGACAATTTTAGCCAGCCAGCTATGGGAGCCCAAGAGAATTTTTAAGGCAGAGGGTGCGTTTCTTTTTTTTCCGTGTCTCCATCTTTGGCCAAGAATATGACTTCAGCAGCGCACACGACACGGCTCGTTTTACAGAGATGGCCTATTCATACTCTATTCATTCATCCCGAGATGGTAAATTTAACCTGGACCAGAGAACGAGGCACAGAATTTTTAATTGCAGGTACAAAATTGTTCACGAAAAAAGACTTGATACGAAGGATTTAGAAGCTCATTTTAGTATGTTCTTTATTATTTTTAAATAGCGAATTTTATTCTGCTTTTTCATCATTTTCCAGCACATTGAAGCTCTGCCTTCAATGCAAGCGCTCTAGAATTTTTATTTTTGCCCTCATTGTAATGAGCAACGAAGCAATGAGTTCTAGTAGTCTAAACAGCTGGTCGCCGCTGTTGATAAATATAAAATAAACATATAGGTCTGTATAAAGAGAGACATTACTGTAATTTGTTTGGATTATTTTTTATTTATGTGAAACGAAGGCTTGCGTCTTCTAATGTAATTACTTTTTTAATCATTAGATGCAAAATACATAAAATATTTTCTGCAGGTCATCAAGATGCTTATTCTAGTCATCATCCTCTTTCTCATGTGCTGGGGTCCACGTCTAATCATGCACGTCATCATTAAACACGGTCTTAATTCCTTCACCGATCACATATACAATCTTCGGGTGGCCACTTATCTGCTCTCCTTCGCACATTCTGCCATAAACCCAATCATATACGGGTTTATGTCCACCAATTTCAGAAAGATGATGCTTCAATGTTGCAAAGACAGCATCTGCAATCGAACAACTTGCACAGTTTGTCGTCACTCGAGCAGCTGCGTGATTGAGGAACTGCCTCAAAGGCGTAATCTCTCTGATTCGTATGAGTTTAGTACCCTCACAACGAGCACGAGGCGATCCCGGCAGGCTAACTCCATCAATGTTGAAGATCCGAGATTTCGAAGGAGTGAAGAACAATGGACAGCTGTTTAAAGCAAACATCTGTTCATGGAACATTGTTTCATATTTAGTGATATTTATTTATTTATTAACTCTTTATCATCAGTTGGAATTTTTTTCTTCATATTCAATTTCAGGAGAAGTTGAAAAAGTTTTCTAAATGATCATTTTTTCCCCCCATTTGCTAAATCCTAAAAGTTCTTCAAGATAAGAGCATGACATTTTTAATAAATTTTAGTTGTTTCACATTCAAATTTTTTTCAAAAAATTAATAAAGCATTTTTTTAAAAAGTTTTCTCTCATATTCTTTTCCTTAATAACAGTATTTGTAAATAACAATTTTATCTTTGGAAATTTGTAGTCTTTTTTTAAATCAATTTTAATTTTTTTTTAATATTAGAAAATCACTCTTTAGACAAATTAAAGTATAAATAGTTTTCTGTTTAATAATCAAGTAGACCAGAAAATGTTTCACTTCAATGCATCATATATTCAATATATCATAGCATATTGCAAAAGCAGTATTTTTTTAGTTTTAAAATAATTTAAAGTTAAATAAAAACTTAATTTAACTATAAATGAAAAGAGAATAAAAAAAGCATTGAAAACCATTTAAAAAAAGTTTCAAGGATTTATTCCAGACCCCTCTAAAGTAATTTTTTCATCTAATTCATTTTCGCTAAATTTAAACACTTAAGAAAAAGCTCTTTTCATCAGCATATAGAAACAATTTTGTTACTTATACTTTCATTCAATTCTTACTTATGGTTAGATTTTGTATTATTTTTATTACGTAATTTCAATGATACTATTTTTAGACATTATTTATAATATTTTAATTAAACTTCTTTGATAGATATTCTTTTAAAGTAACACATTATTTCAAAAATGTATATATGATATTATAAATTCGAATATATGATATTATAAGCTTCGTTTGAGTGTTTTCCATAATTCCTTTAGCTTAATTTAGCTAAATAATTCTTTATAAAAATTGTTTTCATCAGAGTATTTTTTTCTGCTACAGATAATTTTGTTGCGTGTGACTAAACGGTGGTTCGTTTTAAGCCAACCTTTTCATGTTTGACCTAACAGGTTTATGTATTTGATGTACTTTACTTTTTTCTTATTCATAGTGAACATCTCTTACTGGACTTATGTCGACGTATAACATATTAAAAGTGGACGTATAACATATTAAAAGTGGACTTCATCACCTTCAAAACTAATGTTTCGAACCTTTTCTCAAGACTCAAAAGACGTGCATGAGGAACAGGTTTGAAGCAGAACAAGAAAAAAAATACAAAGGAAAAGAAACTATAAGTCATCTATTTCTGCTTAGCCATAAATTTAACATTAATAACACCAGAATTCGTACCACTTCTGACACAGCAGCTCATCTTGATGTTCTGGAATCTTTTTGTTATTCATATGAATGATGATTCCTCAGCGAAGTGACGCAAGTTGCTCCCCGTGTATCCATAGCACCTGATTTGCTGTTCTCGGCTTTTCCTTTTTTTTTGTTTTTCATTATTCTTATTTTCCATTTTCTCGTTAACAGTTTTGCGTTTTCTTTTTCGAATTTGTTTTTTTCCTCATTCGCGTTTGACGAGTCTCTAGAATGGATGCCTTTTTTAGAGTGCTCAAAAAACGACTATGAAACTAATGAAGTTTTTATATTATCAGACATATATTTTCGCTAACAAATTTAATTAAAAATTAATTTAATTAGCGAAATAAAAATTAAAATGCATTAAAAATTTTCAAGGCAGTAAAGCACGTAAGGATTAAAAATTGTGTAGCAATCCATGATGGAACTTGACAACTTGATATGGAATCCAAAACTTGATGGAAATATGGGTGCCTAGAACGGAGATCTGTAAGGAAATGTTTAATTTTGAACATTCATTCGACACCTTGTATGCAAGTTATGAACCTGGAAAATGCAGTTCATAATTTTAAAAAGATGCAAAAGTTTACTTATTATTTCATTTAAATCATCTTTTGTTTATTTTAGGAATTTTTATAAAGAGAAATACGCTTTACAATAGACAAAAAATTAATTTATAACTCTTACTCATCGTGAATCTAGTCTATTAAAAAGTGATTACTGAATGGTGCCATTCTATACACTCGTGTCATATTATCGCATTAAATGTATCAGGATTTTAACAAACATGTGAAAATTTTTAGAAAAACTTTCCAGAAACAATCGTAACAGAACGCGCATTTATGATGGAATCGGCGCAAATGTATTTTATTCTTTTATACTAACCTATAACATTGTCATGACTTTTGGTGACTAATGATTGATATTTTGGTGGCCATTTTGTTTGCAATAGTTACCCATTGATGACTGGGACCACATATCCAGAGCTGTATAGTAATGAGGCGCATTTTTGGCACACAAATAATGACTTTTCCGATCAAGGGTCACTTTGCAATTTTCAAAATGTATGTTATGTCCTACTGCTCTCTTTACGTACCCTGTATATATAATAATAATAATGCTGAATTGATCATCTCAAGATTAGACATACAAATGAGAAGTCATGCAATGTTGAAAAATAAACTAGGAATATGATGTAAAAGTTCATTGATGTTCCGTTTTTGTGACTTCCTTTTTAAGTGTTGTGATATGGCATAGTTTATGTCGTTGACCGGAATTTTCAGTCGGAACTGTTGTCGTTTTGTGGAAGTAAAATATCCATGACGTCTCTTTATGATTACTGTCTTCAAACTATGAGTTAAAGGCCATTGTGTAAAGGCCATTGAAAATAAATATTCATCCATTCTTTGTGGTGCTACGTAGCTTCCTAAAAAAAGGAAGAATATTAGATTTTTTAGAGTAATTTCAAGTGTTTAATCACAATGGTCAAAAGACTCTTTTGAAAAAGACTTTGGTTCTATAGCTAATATTTAATTTCTTTTTATTAGGAACTAACTGAATACTCGTTCTCCGTACCAAGTAAAAAAAACTAAACAATCAATAAATATGTACTTAACAACACATAATTTTTTCATTGTTTTTAAATTCAAGTTTGTAACTATTGCCAAAATTGGTGTAAATTACGGTTAATAGCATCTCCATTGACTTTGGCTCTTAATAGATAGTTTTTTTAATCAAAATTATTACCTATCACTAAAATTAATTAAGCATCAGAAAAAGTACTGCATTTACTATGATTCTTCTAAACGATTTAAAACTATTTTTCCATTAATTTTTGCTTATCAGTACAAAACTTTTTATTTTAATAATCGTTGATTTTAAATGATTTAATTTTATATAAATTTGTCTTAAAAGCATAATTATAAGAAAAAACAAGCATGTGGTTTCAGATTTCTTAAGAAATCCCCTCTGATTATTGAGTTTATCCGATGTGACGAATAAAAAAATGTAATTAAATATTAGTGAACGTGCAACAACTTCATTTTTGATAAAAGAGAGCTTTAAGCAAGCAAATAATACTGATGGTGCTTTCAAAATAATTTAAAAAAAGAGCATGAAACCAATGAAAAAATTCCATTTTTCAAGAACGATCTAACTGAAATATTTGATGGATTTTCAGGATAATGGACTAAAATTGTCTCTTTAATCCACTGTCCAAATTTTTAGACACTAGCATATAGCAAAATGAGATACATATAAGAGAGACACACATGCAAACAAGCAAACTTTTCTTTTTGTTATTATAGATTAGTTAAAAATCACTCTCTGAGACTTTTTTTAAAATTTTATTTAAAACCAAAACGAGCTTAAGTAGTTAAAATATTTTTTAAAAGTATAATATGCTATGTTTTTAGAAAATATCAATATCGAAAATTTTAGAGCGTGTTGAATTGTATTATCGTTCAAATTTGCTCCGGAACTTAAGTACGGGGCCAAATAAAATTACATAATCGCATTTTTTAAACGTAATTAACGGAACGGAATTAACGTAATTATTCTAAGACGGATTCAATTTGAGTCATTTATCTGATTGTAAAAATTTGAACGATATTACGGATTTTGCTTTTTATTGTTGTTTTTTTATTATTATTATTTTAAAAACTATTATTAAAGATATTCTTAAATACATGCCGTTTAGAAACAATACATTGTAAATCTGGCAAGTTTATTTACTGACCCTGAGGATAATTTGTCTAAGAATTTTTGACTGAACGTGTTTTCGAAACACTTTTTATGAGAATCAACGTGAAGCCCTCTCTGTCAACAGTAATTTGTGAAAATTCTTACTTAAAAGTCATACAAAATTCATATCTTTTTCCATTCCAAATGTTGATTACATAACTTATTATAAATACAGTATTATTTTTTTCCTCATCGTGTAAATCTGACGTGGGTAATAACATGTCTTGGTCAGTAATAACATGTAAATCTGAGGACTATAGGTATAAATTCTATATTCTCATCAAAGTAATATTGACTACAAAAATTTTGTACTTCATTTCTTATTCATTTCAAAAACCATTGTTATATATTAACATTGTCTGTAAACATTGTCTATATGTGTTGTGAAATAAAGTTTGTGGATTACGAATCATGGGAAATTTTATCACTGCAATTAATATTTGTTGAATTTGTTCACATTAGCGTATAATTTGACTTTTACCTTAACATTGTTTGGAATAAACGTAATGAGTCTTAAAATTGAATTAATGAACAGTATTCAAACTTTTTATTTCATATTAAAACTCTAAACTTCGTGAATACGAATGGCTTATTGTGCATAATGGAAACAGAAATGTCATTTTTAAAATAGAAGTGAAATTAGAAAAGAAATTAAGCTACTGACACCTATTTAAATTGTAGGATTTTGGGGAAATTTAATGAAAAGCCAAATTTTAAGTTACGAGTTTCGGTCATTTTTTGTCGGCAATTTGAAGATTAATGTGAGCATCGAAGTTTTTTTTTAATTTTTTTTTTTTTTTACTTATCTTAAATTGTTTCTAAGTATACAAAATCAAAAATTCCATCCGTATAAGTTGTTCATTAAAATGAATAAACTTAGAAACACATCAAACAGTCAAACCGGGCCCTCGGTAAGAAAAACGTTCATTTTTGAAGTTTCACGCCTGTTTTTGATTTTGCAAGATTGCAAACCTTGTAAGGATGATTAGTAGAACAGAAATTTAGGTCCATTAGGTCTTTCGACCAATCAGTGACATTCCAGAACTTGGATAGTGTCTACGAATTATCCAATTTCT